ATATATATATATATTGACAATTTTTTTTGACATCAATACATTAAAAAATAAAATAATAAAAAATAATTTTATTTTAAATAAAAAATATTAAATTTTCATAAAAGTTGGTTTAGAATACAATTTCAAACATCACTTTGACCCTTAGTTATCATAACCGACTCGGGAGTTTACCGACTAAGGAGCTGACTATCAGGTTAATCGGGTTGACCTAGGTCATCCCGAAAAAATTTAAAAAAATATTTGAAGTTTTAATATTTTATATTAAAAAATTAAGTAATAATTTATATGAATATAAGCTATACATGTTATAAATAATGAAGTTTAAAAAATTATTTTAAAAGATTTTTTTTATTTTATATTAAAAAATTAAGTAATAATTTATATGAATATAAGCTATACATGTTATAAATAATGAAGTTTAAAAAATTATTTTAAAAGATTTTTTTTATTTTATATTAAAAAATATAATTTTTTTGTGAATATTATTTATACTAAAAGATTTTAAATCTTATATTAAAAAAATAATTTTTTTATGAATATAAAATATATATATTAAAGATTTCAAATTTTACATTAAAAAAATAAAATATTTTTTTAATATTTATATAATGCACTTTAAAAAAATTAATTAAAAAATATTTTTTTTTTAAAAAAAATCTTAATCCAGTTTTATCAAGTCACCTTCATCACAAGTAAATAATCAACTAGGTTAATAACTAATGTTTTCATTCCATTTTATTTTCAACCCGATCAATCCATTTATCAAAATTATCTAAATTCCAGATCAACCTCCCGGTTTGGATTTAATAACCAATGCTTTCGTCCATTAGAAAGGTCTTCTCCTGCTGCAAGCCGGGGTTACGAGTGACGTCATTTTGCCGAATGCAATCAGCAATCAGCAATCAGCAATCGTTAACGACTTACAGCTATTAACCAGTCGCCATGTATGACCCGAGGCTGAGACCGTTTGAACCAGCAAGACAGCGAATCTTAAACGCCGTCAAGAAGGCAAGGGAGTCTTCGCATCCATCTCTTGTGTCCACTTGTAATTCGCTGCAATGTAAAACAGCAAGCTACATTATGGTCCTTTTCTACTCACCAATGTTACACTTCTCCTCTCGTAATTTAAAATTTCCCAATATTTTCCTATTTGTTTTTCTCTTTTGATAATTAAGTTATTTTAATACATTTATTTATATATGATAATTAACAAGACATCAACCATGTTTTATATGAAAAAACACCTAAAAAACCTTAATAATTCTATTTCCAACTTTAAATTAGTCGAAGATCAGTCAAAAAACACTTTTAAAAAGCATCAAAAAGCAAAAGTAGAAGATCTTTCAAACACAACTATTTAGTTGTACAACACGGTCTGATGTTTTAGAAGGTGTTTAAGAGTGATAGCGATTGTTTTTCAAAATATTTTTTACTTAGAAATGCATCAAAATATATATTTTTATATATTTTTTTAAAAAATTGTTGACATCAATATATTAAAAAATAAAATAATAAAAAAATAATTTTATTTTAAATAAAAAATATTAAATTTTCATAAAAGTTGGTTTAGAATACAATTTCAAACATCACTTTGACCCTTAGTTATCATAACAGACTCGGGAGTTTACTGACCAAGGAGCTGACTACCAAGTTAATCGGGTTGACCCGGGTCATCCCGAAAAATTTTTAAAAAATATTTGAAGTTTTAATATCTTATATTAAAAAAATTAAGTAATAATCCATATAAATATAAGTTATATATATTATAAATAATTAAGTTTAAAAAATTATTTTAAAATATTTTTTTATTTAATATTAAAAAGATATTATGTTAGTATGTTATTATTATAAGTTGAAATATTTAAACTAAAAATATTTTTTATTTTATATTAAAAAATATTTTTTTATGTGAATATTATATATATTAAAAGGTTTCAAATCTTATATTAAAAAAATAATTTTTTTATAAATATAAAATATATATATTAAAAGATTTCAGATCTTATATTAAAAAAATAAAATATTTTTTTAATATTTATATAATGTACTTTAAAAAAATTAACTAAAAATTATATATATATATATATATATATATATATATATATATATTAAAAAATTTCAACCTAGTTTTATCAAGTTATCTAAATTACAATTCAATAATCAACTAGATTAATAACTAATATTTTTATTTTATTTTTTTTAACCCGGATCAATTCAGTTATCAAAATTATCTAAATTCCAGATCAACCTCCCGGTTGGGATTTAATAACTAATGCTTTCATCCATTAGAAAGGTCTTCTACTGCTGCAAGCCGGGGTTACGAGTGACGTCATTTTGCCAAAAGCAATCAGCAATCAGCAATCGTTAACGACTTACAGCTATTAATCCATCGCCATGTATGACCCGAGGCTGAGACCGTTTGAACCAGCAAGACAGCGAATCTTAAACGCCGTCAAGAAGGCAAGGGAGTCTTCGCATCCATCTCTTGTGTCCACTTGTAATTCGCTGCAATGTAAAACAGCAAGCTACATTATGGTCCTTTTCTACTCACCAATGTTACACTTCTCCTCTCGTAATTTAAAATTTCCCAATATTTTCCTATTTGTTTTTCTCTTTTGATAATTAAGTTATTTTAATACATTTATTTATATATGATAATTAACAAGACATATACCAGGGACTCATAAAAAGTTTTAATTTTGCTCTATGCTATTAAATAACCAATGTCAAGCTAATTTTTTTCTTAGTGTTTTAATCTTAATATTAAATCCTATAAATGCTATCAAGAATAACTTCAATAATTAAAAATAAATCCAAATGATAAAAGTAGATTATTTGATGTCAGGTTATCATTGGGTTCTTAGGAAACAATTAGAGAATCTCGAAATATAAGAGTAGAATTGAAATATAGGGGAATCTACAGGGACCAAAATAAAACTATCCATTTACACTTATTTACACTTTCTTACACAACCCTCCTTTTTCTCTCTCTCGCTAGTCTGCAGTATTTCTAATTTTATTTGGGAAAAAGGCAGACTTTCTTAGCTGTCCAAAGCACGAACCTATAGTTATTTCCCTGAAAAGGATCTGCTTCTTTTCTCTCTCTGTTATTCATCCAATTAAGGTCAGTGGAAGCTTGCTTTGGATCTCTAATTATAATCAACTTTCTGCAACTACACTTACATCAACCCAATTCCAGGTCCGTTACTCTTTCTTTTTTTTTTTCGAATTGTGAACTGTTGCTGCGGCAATTCATTTTTGTGTTGGTAGCTTTCTTTCCTTCAGATCCGTCGTTTTTAGATGCCTTACTGTGTCGTTTCATGGACGTTTTCTTTGCTTGCTTAGTAACTGAAATTAAAAAAAATATTTTGATTTATTATTAGTCTTCTCTGCTTCGCATCAATGTAAACTTGAAAATAAATTGTTTTGATTGGATTTAATGTTGATATTCCGTACAAGATTTCAGTGTTTAGTTAATGAAGATTGTGATTAATTGAAGGTTTCTTGAAATCTGGTGTTAGAAATGGCGAATCGACTAAAAGAGGATGAAAAAAATGAACGCATAATTCGTGGACTTCTCAAACATACAGAGAATCGCAGATGTATCAACTGTAACAGTCTGGTACTCTTTCTTACTGTTACTTGCCTTTCTTTTCTTTTCTTTTTTTGAAATTATTAGCATTACTTTTGCCTAGTGTTGTTCTTTGAGAAATGGAATGGTGCGGCTGAGTTGGTCTTAGCGAGTTTAATTTTGGCATTTTTTTTTAACATTGTTTGTTGAAATAATCTGAAAGTAAGGCTGAAGGTTATGCTCTGGTAAAGCTCTGTGTGGGAAACTTGTAAGGCATAAGAAGAAGAAGAAACAAATGCTTGCAATGCTGGTTCTGAATAAGTAAAATGAGTTAACGGAATTGGTAGCAAGTGGTTGTGATGGTGGGCTTGAGAAATATTGTATGCTCCTTAATATAAGCTCTTTTCAGATCCATATTTACCAAAGAATGCTTATGGGAACCCAACTGTTAGTGAGTTTGGCTTCGATAAATTTTATTGCTCCCCTTTATTATATAAAAGGAGAAAAAAATGAAGATTTGGTAATTTCTTCATTAATATTGGTTTGATTTGTAGGTATGGAAAGAAAAAATGAAGTGAACTTTCTCCATGATTATTGCTTACCTCTAACAACCTTTTGAATTTGAGATGATGTTAGTTTGGAAATGATAGATTATAATATGAAATGATTTTTTCGCATGTAATTGAATGTGTAGATATTTGGGCAAAGTGCAAAGGACCTTGCAATTTGGCCGTTTTGAGTTTGAGTGATAAGTGATACTGTTTTTGAATCTAATTTTTTTCTTCTTTCAATTGATTTGTATCTTCTCTGTTAGCAGTGCCCTTCATTCCATTGAAAACAAGAGAGGTATTTAATTTTTCTTCGGCAAGTGAAAAAAAAAATCACTAATGGTGTCACTAACGTTACTAGAACAAAAGGAAAGATAAAGTATCAGTTTGTGTTGTTTATACTTTTCCTTTACTTTACTATTTTTTTTTTCAACTTTTGGAAATGTTGCCAAATCTAGTATTAGGATTTAGGAATATCTACTTTTGCTGGCAGATCTAAAGACATGTTAATTGAATAAAACACAGCTCACTTAAGTGTTGGAAAAATCTGTCAATTCAATGTAAAATGTCCAAACAGAACGTTTTTGCTTGGTTTCCTAGATATTTTAGATACGTTCATGTGTGGTTTTCCATTACAATTATAAAGAATTCCAGTAGATGATCCAAGTGATGTTAGTTTGGTTTTTACCTGAATTGACTTGTATGGTGGATGTGGGCATTGGTGCTCTGTCCCAAATGATCCATAATTTATGTTGCAATTTGAAAATTACATGAACTCTGGACTAGAGATCAATCATTACCATGAAAACATTTATGGTGCTTTAGGAAACTGATTTCTACTTCATAACAAAAAATTTCCTATAGCAATGCCCTGACTTAAAGAAAAAAGAAAAAAACTATGGTGATACGAAAAGTAAGACAATCTGTAATCTGAAAAATGCCAGAAACAGACTCAACTATGTGACTTTCAACCATACTCATTCTTTTGTCACGCATATGTATGATCCTCATTCATGCATGAAGGTTGAGATTGGATGGTCACACTAATTGTGACTTTTCAATGCATTTCTTGTTTTTATTATTGATTGGTCGTACAATTTGTGACTTTGCAGTGCATTGCTTGTTTTTATTCTTTATTGTCAAACTTGAGCATTGCTTAATATGTTATGATTTAATATGTTATTGCACCACAATTTTGCTGTTATTATATTTCATGGATTTGCAATCAAGAAAGAAATTGTTTAATTCATCTCATGTTAGATGCTTGCTCATGAGAACAAGATTGTAGCTCTGTAGCAAATATAGGAAAGTGAATTGTTTTATTCTTCCTATCTGTGACAACATTGATATAAAAATTTTCTTATGGTGTTTGGAATAATGGTGTTATAAGATTTGTAGTGTATATCCGTTACAATTCTTCCTTTTGGGGAAAACTGCCATTTTTTCCCTTACAAAAGTGCTGATATATATTTTCCTATTGAGCAGGGACCTCAGTATGTTTGCACAAACTTCTGGACATTTGTTTGCACCACCTGTAGTGGAATACAGTGAGTATGAATATGCTTTGCTATACATTGCTATCCAATTTCTTTGCAGCTGCTTGCTTTCTGTTGGTTGTTCATGTGTATTTCTTAGTATTTGTTGGGATGCATCATGTTGCGGGTAGTTTTGGGGAGAGGGCTCCGTGAGAGTGAGAGAGATCAAGTTGCTTGTACTAACTTGCTGTTCCATATGTAGCCGGGAGTTTACACATCGAGTAAAATCAGTATCAATGGCCAAATTCACCTCACAAGAAGTTGCTGCCCTTCAAGAAGGAGGAAATAAGGTAAAATACCCCCCCTCAATAATCTTAGAGTTACACTTTGCTTGTCAATCTTGATTGTTTTCTGTCTCATTTTATTTTCTCAGCGTGCAAGGGATATTTATTTTAAAGAATGGGATTCACAACGCCAGTCTCCCCCTGACAGCAGGTTATACTTGCTTATTTTCGTGTTTCACATCTTAAAAATTATTGCAGTTCTGATTTGCTCTTTTGCTGCCAGTAATGTTGAGAGACTTCGAGACTTTATAAAACATGTCTATGTGGATAGAAGATATACTGGTGAGAGGAACTATGGCAAGCCTCCAAGTATGAAGATGGTAAGATGCCCTCTCTTTGTCCCTAGCTGTGATTTTTCTTGATACTATCACTTGCATCGACAAGTATTCCAATCTTTATAGAAGGGAGCTTACATCGACAAGTGGGTGTGTGTGTGTGTTGTGTATGTGCATGTCCTTTATGGCAATAAATATGTTGTGGCTTTTGTTGGATCTCCTATTAAAACCTCTTCTCCTTGGATATCATGAAGGATAACAAAGAAGACTTCTCCGAGCATAGGAAAACTGATGCATATCAAGGAGGGTCTAGAAGTCCACCATATGAAGATACACATGAACATCGGTACAATGAAAGGTCTAGTCCTGGTGGAAGAAGTGATGATAAATATTCAAGATATAGTTATGATGAAAGAAGAAGTCCTGGATATGATCAAGAAAGTCGACAGTATAATGATTACAAAAGAAGTCCTTCTCGTCCAGAAGTTGTCAATGATTGGCGTCGAGAGGATAGATTTGGAAATGGCAGGAAAGTGGAAGACCGAAGGATATCTGATGGAGATCCGAAACTTGAAGGCAGGTCACCTGAGCGGCCAAAAGAGGACACTTCCAGCCCCCCTATGGTACGTCCTGTCAGAGAGATTTTGGGAGATAATGTAGTACCTCTTCGTATAAGTGAACCTCCTAAATCCAATGTTTCAAGGCCTGCTGATGTCCCTGCTCCTACACAGGTAAAGCTTTGTTCCATAAAGCTGTGTTTACAAATTTCCTTTCTTGTTTCTGCTTCTTTTCTTCTAACTCGCCCTGCAATCTATCATTGCTTAGACGTCCATGATCCTTAGAATTATTACATCTATATTTTTGCCAGACAAATCTTGTGCATTTAGTGCTTTTCCCTCTTCCAGGTCTTATGTTTCATTCCAGGAAGTCTATTTTGCATGTTGAGTTTTGGTCATGATAAAATTTAAACAAGATCCTGTGAACCTATTTTCCATTAGTTGGAGTTTGTTTGTCAGCTTCAGTTGCAGGGTTCAATTCTAGAAACCCAATTTAATATAATTGTATGCTGGTTGGGCTACAGTTAGTCATAATGTTGAAAGAAGGAAACCTAGTCTATGAAGATCTTTTTGCTTTTCTTTATTTTTTCCCTGTTTTCAGGTTGCTAGATGATGCCTGTCTGTGTGTGCATGAGAGAGTATTGATTTGAGAAAACATTCTAATATACTGCGCTAAAACCTTATAAACTTGAAAGTCATAGAAAAGAGTTGATCACAATTCCTGTAATATCTACAAACAAAGATTGAGTTCATTGTATTTAATGTTGTTAAAATCCTTACAATGTATCTTTTCTTTAAACTTTGTATGTAAGGAAGGTATCTTTTCCTTCAGTGAATGGAAATGTACATGGGAGCTATGAAGAAAGTTGAAGGCTAGTAATGGTTTTGGAAAATCCATGCATGTCAAAAGTTGATATTTTAGAGCGTTCCATTTTCCTGTTCTGAAAATTTTCTCAGGATTTATTTATAATGTTTGAATGTTCATAGAAATCACAACCTTTAAATGACACCTGGCAGAAAATAGAATGCAATTATTTAGGTGCCATCCAACTGATAATTTATGTTCCAATTTCAATTAATTTGAGTTGCAAGCAATTTGAATGTGATCGTGTGCAATCTACCTCGATAGAAAATTGTTTCAAAGAAAAAGACCAGAAAACAGCCGCAATGAGTCTGATTGTACTGATTACTGTTTCGCTTTGTGGTTGGATTGACTTATCATTCTCAGTGAAAAAATGGTCGGTTGCTTTTCTTCCATTATTCGCTTTTCCTTGTCACTTTTAGCTATTTTAAAGTAGTTTAGTCTTAGAAATCATCTGCATGCTCTCTCTCTCAAATTCAGATGAAAGACATAATCTTTAAACAGATATTTCGCATCCTCTGTATTCACCTGCTTAGCTCTGATCTTTGCTTTCATTATCTGTTGCATTCTGGATGTCTTTGGTTATTTTAGTTTATTTTATTTTTTAAATTCTTCTGGGTGGAAACAACAGAAACTGTTACGGGGAAAAGAATAAGAAACAGTGTTTGAGCATTGTTACTTTTAATTGCAGCGAACTGCATCTTCCAGTAGCTTGGGATCTGCTACTGGGAATCCAACGGAAGTGAAATTGGAGAATACTGGAAGCTTAATTGATTTTGATGCAGATCCTGAACCTCCTGCTGCCGCTTCAATTTCTCAAGCAATTGCGCATTCTCCAAGTGCTACCAATGACAACAATTGGGCTTCTTTTGATTTTGCCCCTGAGAATAAAGCATCTCAGGTTCCAAAAGCAAATCCTCTGGAATCTGTTCTCTCACAACTCTCAGTTCCAGTACCTGGACCTGGTCATATATTGGGATCACACAGTGGTGCTGGTGCTCCTGCAACAGCAGCTGTGGGCAATCCAACAAATGCTTCCCTTTTTGCATCTGCAGGGAACACATCGATGTTGCCCTTCAATTCTGTTGCTCCTGCAGCCACACCAGTTAATAACTTGTCAATATTACATGCTAGTGGTGTTTCAGCAACTGCCCCAAGATTGGCACCTGCTATGCCTGTTAATGGTGGTCATTCATTTGCCAGTGTTACAGAAGCAGGGCAGTGGCCTAGTGTGCAGCATCAGCAACCTTCTCTATTCCCTGTTTCTACTGGTCATTCTACTACTCAACAATTTACCCCACCATTAGCTTCAGGGAATCAGGTAAGCCTGCTAGTGTGGGTTTTGTGAATTTTGTGCTGTATGTTGTCAGATATTATTGTATGTTTATTTAATTGTCCTCACCTGCTGGATTTTTTTGGCAGACCTGGAATGTGCCTCCTGCCTCAAATGTGCAAGTGTCTTTGGCGACACCGTATGCAGTAGCTCCTCAAATTGTCTCAAATCCTGCATCAGGAGTCATGTCTGCTGGTCTATCACAACCATCAGCTGTGGCAGTTAAACCAGCTGCAAGAAGAGAACTGCCTGCGGTAATTGCATTTTTCTGTTCAATCTTGTTTCATTATTTTATGAGGTTTCATTGGATATGCTAATAGTTTTTATGGTTGCATATTGCTTATTCAATGAATGTTGAATTTGTGCACAGGATCTTTTTGCTGCTACATATTCACCTTATCCTGCAGCAATTCCAGGGTGGCCATCTGGTCCAGCTCGTGGTATGGGTTTTGCTGTGCAATATAATAGTGTTCCAGCGGTATGCTTATTAACCCAGTCAATCATTTCCATGTTTTACAGTTTTTTGTGCATAATTCCTGGACAAATTAATCATAGTTTTGTTTTTGTTAACTACAGTCTATGCCAACTTTTCTCCAGCAACCTAAGTCAGCAAACCCTTTTGATCTCAGTGAACCAGTTCAAGCCCAACATGTATGTGATTTAACTTCATTTCATTTTAAAATTCAATATGTGCATATCCTTTGGTCTTATTTGTTTGAATTACTCTGCTGTAAAAATGATGCTATAATGTGGAAAATAATGTTTTCACTAAATGCGTGTATGAAATTGTGCTTCTTTTGGCCTCAATTTTACCAATAACAGAGTAGGGGATGAAATTGCCAGTTGAAAATGATTGGATATCAATCTGTTTTTCCACTTCCATGATATGTGGTCCCTGTGATGTAGTTTCCTTCAATGACGCCCTTGCATGCTGCTCTACCGAATATGCCACCTTCAGGCTTACAACATACTTCCAGTCTTGGTACTCCCTCACCAGCATGGATGCTGCCCCAGTCATCTCCTTATCCACCAGCATTGCCTTCCCAGGCACCACCTTATTCGTCATCTGTACCTCCAAGTATATAATTCAATTCCTGTTCTTTCTCTCTCCCCTCTGCTTGGTTCTTTATTTCGTGCTGAGTTATTTGAAAATCTCAGGGGTATATGTAGCTCAACAAGCACCGAGTAGTATGCCATTTGCAGGGTAAGTTATTTTTCTTGTTGTATTTTATGTCTGAATATTTTCTCTCGAATGTAATCCCTACTTTTCAAATTTTATACAGTCCTTCAGAATTTATTTTTTTTTGTCACCGGCTGTGTTTATGGTATGCCTTTTGGTTTTGAATTTTTCTGTTTAACTCGGTTACTAGTTTTATTACACAGCCGTGTGTGATTTTACTACACCATGGGGCTCTCTCATACAATCATGTAGTGATCACAAGAGGGTCTTGCATCATTGTGTGAGGAAGAGAATATATTTCTAGAGAACTGTAGTTTCACTGAAGCCACGCAAGTAAATGTTCATTTACCAACAAGGGTTAGTGACTTTCTCGTTGAATGGTTAGTTGGACCAGATCAATTACACTGTTGGGAGAGCTTTAAATTAGTATTCATTCCTAAATATTAAATATTCCACCTCTACAAGGCTTGGTTTCTTGTCTGAAGTTTAGAATTATCCGTGGCAAGTATTGGCAGCTTTGATCACCATTTTAAACCTTCCACTTATCGAGGTTTCAATTCTCCTCTTTTTTTTTTTGGGGGTACGTACAGGCATCAAGTAGTAGGTGGCTTTGGCGGTGATGGTGCTGCTTTTGGTGCCGTGAATATGGATCAACAGGTGGCTGGTAGATTCTCTGCCCCTCCAACCCCACAGCCTTTCTCTTCTGTTGGAGGAAATCCTTTTGGATGAAAGTAGAAGGTTTGTTCCTGCGACCCAAGTTCAGGGAAGCATCTACTTGATGCCCCATGCCATGCCGGTGGGTGGAGCTTAGTTCTGGTTTGATATAATGTACTTTCTATTGATCCAGCCAAATTAAAGAGTGCCCATTGTTCATCTGATCAATTGTCAGAGAAGCATAGTTTAGAGAGAGGGAGAGGGAGAGGGAGAGGGAGAGGGAGTAACTACAATTAAAAGTGTTTACACCAGCATGGGGATCTAAGTTTAACTTTCATGCTGCTGTAGTGTTTATAGATATTTTGCATTGTTCATTGGGTTGTCCGAGTGTTGTCTGCCGTTTCTTCAGGTTGTATCATTTTTTCAGTGTATGGTTTTGTAATCTCTTCCTCATTCCGGTAAGCTTTTTTTGAGTCTGCTGAAGTTTATGAAATGATCATTACAGTACAGTTTGTGTGCACATATATTTTTGGAATATTGAGATGTTTTTCTGCAAGATACCGTTGGGTTTTAGCCTTCTGCCCCACCCGTCCTTGGACCCTATTATAGAGTATGTTTTCATGTTTAATTTTGTGTTTTAAAAGTCTTTAAAAAAAAATTATTTTTTTATTTTTAAATTGTTTTAATGTATTGATATAAAAATAAATTTTAAAAAATAAAAAATATTAAGGATAATTTCTCCACAAAGTTGCAGAACACTTTTTGGTCACTTAGCTGCTCGTCTTCTTGATTTGAATTAAATATAAAAAAATTAATTTAAAATTTAAAATTTTTAAAAAACATAAAATATTTGAATATTTTTTTGTTGTAAAAATAAACACACTAGTGTATGCTTGTATATATAAGCATATATATTTGACTTAAAAAGCTATTAAATTTGATATATCCCTAGGGGGTTTTTTTTTAAAAATTTTAAGATTTTGGTACAATCATATTAAAATTATATTAAAAAAAATTATCTATATTTAATTAAATGCATATTAAAAAATAAGCAGTCTAAACAAAATACCAAACACGTGTAAGTGCTTTCCAGAGGTAAGACAACCTGGTCTCGTGTCATGGGTGAGCGAAAAACGTTTTGTTGTAGCTGCTTCTTATCAAAAGCTAGTTTAGCAGCAGTTCAACATTCACTGTAATAGTTTAAAAACTTCTATTGATCCTTACTGGGCCCCATCGTTCCCTGATTTTGTTCAATGTGTATAGGTTGTTTTTCAAATAAATCCAATATTAATAAAGTAATCAAATTATTATTCAGATTCGTGTCTACATTTCAAAACTTACGTTTTATATGTATCCGATGCTGATGGAACTTCATGTAACCAAGTTCGAGTATTTTCATTTGAATTGATTTTATAAAGTTTTTGTTGGGTTCTGAATATTGCAATATAAATAATAAAAAAATAATTAAGAGTTTCAAATAACACTTTAAATAGATGTAGATATAGAGTTATTTAGAAATTATTACTTGAAGATTTATTTTAAATAATTTTTTAAAGGTTAAGTTGTTATAAATCATAAACTGTTTAATTTTTTATTTTTTAATGATAATTCATATAAATTTCATAAATTTCTATTTAGAAGGGAGGAATTATTATGTCTAGAGTGCTAGATCTAATTTTGTGTTTAACTAACTTTTGTGCCTAACAAACAATTTAAAAAAAACTAAAAGACATGACTTATTATTTGGGGAGAAATCTGAAAAATCCTATATATTAGTAAAATTGATATTTTTTTTAAATAATATCCATATATTAATTTAGAAAAATTTTAAAAATTAACTCAATCAAGTCATTGCTTAACTTTTTTAGATCTAGAAATATAATCTCTATATTAATTATATTCTAGTCTTTAATTTGTAAAATATATTTTAATGAATTTATACTTAATTAAATCATTTCAATTTAATTTTTAACCAATAATTTTTAATGTGTATGATCCATTAGATTTCTAATAAATTATTTTAAATTTAAATTATAATTATAATTAAATAATTAAATTTATTATTAATTCTACAATTAATTAATTTATATTTAAAAAAACCTTACACTTGGTCTCATGTTTCATCTCTTTCAATATCAAACTTTTTTTTATATATGAATGAAAAAATCAAGTGTCATCATGAATCAAGACTCATCTACATTTTGACGGGTAAGCTTGAACTCCTAAAGGTTAATCAAGGACATATAAACATGGTACATGATTAACTTAAGAACTTTTAAGAATGTTTAGAAAGATTTAGCTTCATGTGTTTGGAATAGAGCCATTAACGTTGAGTCAAAGCGACCTTAACCTCTTTTATATATTTCCAAGAGTGTAGTTATGTGTTTTTTTGGACATATGACATCAAACCCATCCTTCGTAAGTTACTAGGTTGTTTATAGATTGTTTATATTTTTACTTGTAATTATATTTAAAAATACTTTAAAAGTATATTTGATTTAAAAAAAAATATTAAATGGATATTTTTTAATATTTGTTGATAGTTTTGATGTGTTAATATTAAAAATAAAATTAAAAAAACACATTATATAATAATAATAATTTTTAAATAAAAAATATTTTAAAAAATGCTTTATATGATATTAGCAAACAAATACACTTAATTATTATATCTAGGTGTCCTTTTATACTTACATAATTTAATTCTTGCGACTAGGTGTCATTTTCAAGATCTATTAATATTTTATTTATTTTAGATCAATTTTACAGTTAAGGTGTTAATATTAAAAATAAAATTAAAAAAAACATTATATAATAATAATAATTTTTAAAAAATATTTTAAAAAATGCTTTATATGATATTAGCAAACAAATACACTTAATTATTATATCTAGGTGTCCTTTTATACTTGCATAATTTAATTCTTGCGACTAGGTGTCATTTTCAATATCTATTAATATTTTATTTATTTTAGATCAATTTTACAGTTAAGGGGCTTGAGAGTTTCTCTCTCTAATTCCACTCTCTCTCCACGTCACTTCTTTTGTTTTGGTGCTTGATGACTTCCTAGGTTGTCATGCTCACCAGCAATCCATTTTGAACAGTATTACCCAACCCCTTTAATTGTACCCTAACTTCTCACCTGCCACAAGCTCTCATCTATCTCTATATCATCTACTCTTCCTTCCAAGCTTCTCTCAACTACTTTACTTTAACTACCCGACACCACGACCTGACCTCCAAGGACCCCTGCATCTAGGGCTAGTGTTCTTGAACAAACTAGCATTAATATTTTAGATGGCATGATTCTAAACAATCTTCTGTACAAAGACATTTTACAGGCTATCCTTTTCGTCTTTAAGTTCGGATTACAGAAGTCTTTTATCTGTCAAGATTTTGTTAGAAAAGCAGAGTTGTTTGAGATTTGTTATAACTGGGAACAAGCATAGCCTGCGACTGGACTGTTTCTTCTCTTTCCTTCGATTAATGAATCATTATCATTACGAGATTCTGGATTACTTCACAAGCACAAGAAGGAAACTACAATCCTGTTCTTGTAAGATACGCTCTTCAGTAGCATATTCACAAATCACAAATATCATTTTCCCAAGAGTTAAACAGAGAATTATATGAATCTCCCTCTCCCTTTTCTGCAATGTCAGATTACAACAATAAAAAGAACAAGAAGAAAAGGAATAAATCAGGTCCGTCAGTAGATGTGCTGTGCGTTGCTCTAGCATGGTATCGTGATCAGTATACCACAATGTCTTCTATCTCCAATCGTTTGATTACCATATAGATAACAGATGAAAGGAGCAATTGAGAAATGATTTGGAGAGCCTTGGTGTGTCTTAAACAGGTTCTGCTGTTCGTCTGATCTTCAGTAGTATTGGAGCCACCAGCATCCATACTGCAAAATGATCTTATATGAGCTATTCTTCTTCATTCCAATATAAATAACGTCTTTTTTTGTCGTGATCAAGATGGCTTGAGGCAAAGAGTTTTATGGTCTCTTGGTTTTATAGTCCAAGAATACATCTTTTAATGAAGAGCAATGATGCATGGAGAAATGTTTTTATTTTTATAATTTAACTACTTACAGTAAACACAAACTGCGAGCCATTCGTTCACTATTCTCACCCAAGCACTGGTCCAACCCACGTCAATGGTCCACCTGTACAAGATCAAGGTGAGAGACATTAATTTCATCCCGCCTATGAATTTGCCAATTCTCAATAAACAGGACGAAATGTTTTTGTTCGTCTTTAATTTTCCCCAGAGCAGTTTTTTTTTTCCTGATTGTAACAAGACCTCAAAAAACACTGAAATTGTATTCAAGATTGATTGAAATGATCGAAGAAAAATTGACAATGGGTGCTTATACTTAGTGGTTTCTCCTTGGTTCAGAGAAATTTGATGTGAAAATCACCCAGCCACATTAGGATGGATGAGAAGACAAGATGCACAAAAGGCGGATAAGTTTTTGAGATAAGGCAACATACTTCGGAATGATGTGATGAGTATTCCAGCCAATCAATAGCATTGCAAAGTACATTGCTCCTGTGGCAAAAACAAAGTGGAAAAAGCCATAACCGTATGGAACATCATCCTCATCCTTCGTGTCCCCCTTCCTGAACTGCAGCCGTTGTCAGCCAATAGTTGTGGAACGATGTGGTGATAGAAAATAAAAATTTCATTGGATTTTGGGACTAACCTGAAAGCATTGAGAATCAATGCCTGTAGAAAATGTGGCTATAACAATAGCAAGCAGTGCAACAATAAAGCTCTGTGGACATACGAGATCTATTGTCATTAAGATAGAAAAATGCCAAGAAATCATGACAACAAAAAAACTTTTAAAACTAACAGTGCTTTCAAGTTTCAAAAATATTAGTTTGCTCAACTGTTCAGCCGTTCTAATTTTTTGGGGGCAATTTTCCTCCATTTTATAGGCTCATGCAGGAGATAGCATTCCTGGAAAAGGGATTCATTTTCTTAGTTTCTTTTTTCAAATCAAGAAAGTAAATAGCATTTCCTTCATCAATCCTTTCCATCAGGTTGACACTACAATTCCCCCTAACAAAGTAAGAGATATTCCAAGTCCACTACCTAAGGCCAATGGTTATCCATGGAAGTCAAATGTACTTTTTAGGGGCAATATGAAAGCTCCGTTCCCGTAGCGTTTTCTTTTCTTTTTGGAAATATGATCATAATTGATGTTTTGAATTTCCTTAGGCATATAAAAAGCAAATTCTATCATTAGCCGAGTCAAAATTGCTAAGTTTAGAACTTATGAAATACTTTAAGGATCTTGAGATTACTATAATGGTTAGCCAGTCTGTTCTTCTTGAAGCTTCTGCCTTCCTGTTGCAACTTTCTCCTGCTGGTTCACTGCAAACACAAAAATGCAATAAAATCAAATTGAATGAAGAATATAGTATTGACTAATCTACTGTTTTAACTCGACGATTATAATAGAAGAAAAAAAAATAACGAAAGAAACAGTTCATTTCAAGCTTCGCTTCAGCAATGGAAAGCATTATGGGAAAAAAATTGC